AAGTATCATGAGGACAGGTCACATGTTTTAAACTTCAACACGGTACAACTTGATGAGAATTTGACATACGAGGAAGATCCGGTGTACAATAATCGGATGTAGATCTTCTGTCATCCAGAGATCCAGACCAATTCGCTTCCGTAAAGGCTTCTATTTTGAGGTGATCATGTTTAGAGAAAAGTAGACCTTTCCTCGAAGAAGACTTCAGATACCACAAAATGTGAAAGACAGCTTCCATATGAGGATCTCGGGGATCATGCATGAACTAACTCATCAGGATAACTGAATAGGCTATGTATGGTCTAGTGTGGGAGAGATAAATGAGTCTTCCAACCAACCTCTGATATCTCTCTTTATCAACTGACTCTCCAACTCCGTTTTGTAACTTGTGATTGCTTTCAACGGGTGATTTTGCAGGTCTGCAATCTGTCATACCAGTTTCTTTCAAGAGATCCAGAATATACTTCCTCTGAGAAATAATGATCCCTCTTTTTGATCTACCAACCTCAATTCCCAAGAAGTACTGCAATTTTCCAAGATCCTTGATCTCAAATTCATGTGCCAACAACTTTTTCAATCGGGCCATCTCCTCTTTGTCATCTCCTGTCATTACTATATCATCATCATAAACTATGAGAAGAGTGAGTTTACCTGTATGATGTCTTGTGAAGAGGGTGTGATCAACATTGCTTTCTTGGTAACCAAAGGAGATCATTGCTTTGCAGAATGTGTCAAACCAAGCTCTGGGGGATTGCTTCAGTCCATACAAGGCTCTCTTCAATCTGCATACCTTTCCTTGAATTTGTGCAGTATCAAATCTTGGAGGAATCTCCATATACACCTCTGCTTCTAAGTCTCCATGTAGAAATGCATTCTTCACATCAAACTATTTCAAGTCCCAATCGAGATTAGTTGCACAAGACAAAAGAATCCTAATAGTGTTCATCTTAGCAACAAGGGCAAGTGTCTCTTGATAATCTACTCCATAAGTCTGAGTGAATCTTTTAGCCACTAATCTTGCTTTGAATCTTTCAATAGAGCCATCAGCTTTGTGCTTCACAGTGAAAACCCATTTGCATCCAACTAACTTCTTGTCTGATGGTGAAGTAACAAGTTCTTAAGTCTCATTTCTTGACAAGTCCTTCATTTCTTCAATCATAGCTTGCTTCTATTTAGGATCCGCAAAATCTTTCCTCCAATTCTGGGGAATAGACACAGAAGAAATAGACAAGGAAAAGGCTCTATAGGAAGGATACAAAGAATTATAGGAGACAAAATTAGATAAAAGGTGTTTGGTGGTGCAAGATCTGACTCCTTTTCTTTGAGAAATAGGTTCATCTAACTCATTAGAAAATGTAGATAACTCACTGGTAGAAGAAGGTTCAGCTTCGGTAGATTTCATGATGACTTCTTCTACTCTATATTTTCTTGAGTAAGTTTTCAAATCAGGCTTATCCAAACGCCCAATAGTCTCCCCCTAAATTCTTTCTCTAATTTCGCTTTCCCTTGTGACAATGTCATCAAGAGTTACATTAATGGAACTAGGTAGAATCGCATCTTCCTCCTTAATGCTCTCCTCCTGAAGAGGTGATGAGGTAATACTGAAATAAGGCTCAGATTCTCGAAAAGTAACATCTATGCTAACAAAGGATCTCCTAAAGGGAGGATGATAACATTTGTAACATTTCGGTATTGGATAATACCCAATGAAAACACACTTTATAGCTCTAGAATTAAGTTTTCCTGAATTTCTGGTGTGGACAAAGAAAATACACCCAAACACCTCTAGAAGAACTGTATATTCATTCTTACCCTTTAAAGCTTCCAGAGGACTTTGAAAATTGAGGGTTTTAAGTGGCATTCTGTTGATAAGATAGGCAGCCCCTAGAATAGCATCTCCCCAATAAGGTATTGGTAGATGCATGGTGAACATAAGAGATCTTGCTACTTCTAACAAATGCCTATTTTTTCTTTCAGAGACCCCATTTTGTGCACTAGTGTAAGAACAACTAGTCTGATGGACTATCCCATTGGACTCCAAATAAGCACCAAATCTTTTATCCATATATTCGATGCCATTGTCAGTTCTCAAGATTTTTATTTTGGCATCAAACTGAGTACAAATCATCTTATGAAATAAACAATTATACCCAAGTCATTCTAGTGCAACAACCAATGATAGTAACAAACTATTGACTACTAGACAAAGAAACAGTTTGAGTAGGACCTCATACATCATAATGAATAGTCATAAATGGAGTTGTGCTTCTATTATCACTCACATGATAAGAGTTTATGGTATGCTTGGCATATTCACACGCACCACAGAACAAAGATTCAAATTGATTCCTTGAAAACAAATCGAGATATAACTTCTTCAAAATAAAGAATGATGGGTGTCTTAACCGTCTATGCCGTTATATTATTTATTGGTTGACATCCTTACTTTCCCCAAGATAGACTTGACCAGAGTTTTGAATTCATCTAATATATACAAGTCATCATGCAATCTACCACTATCAATCTTTTTCCTTGTTTGAAGATTCTGAAAAATACAATGATCGGGAAAGAACTCGATTTTACATTTTAGAATTTTGGTGATGGCACTAACAGATAAAAGATTGACATGAAACTCAGGGACATGGATCACGGATGATAGTTTAATATTAGGAGTACAAATAATAGAACATATTTAAGAGATATAGGTGTTAAAGAACCATTTGCTTTTTTAACATTATCTCCTTTGAGACATAGAGAATAATTTTAAATGCCTTTAGAAGAGCCTGTCATGTATCTATTTGCACAAGAATCAACAATCCAAGAATTAAGGTGAGCAGTAAAGGCAGTATCTGATTGCACGTAATTGGATGTGGTAACATTAGTGGAGTCAAGTTTGGCTAGGAGGTGACGGAGAAGCTGAATTTCATCAGAAGATAAGATTTCTACAAAAGTCGTCTTCTTCAATGTCTCCATATTTTCTGCTCAATCAGAAGGAAATCTGAAGAAAATTGCTCAAAAATAATCTTCCTCGCCGGAAACAAAACCTGTCTCCACGGAATCGAAAGGAGTTTGTGTTGCGGACAGCCACCAAGAGAGAGAAAACTCGACCTCTTTGATAAAAACGGAATCCTAGTACTGCGAGCGAGATAACCCACCTCAAAAATATAGCAATGGCTTTGATACTATGTAGATTTTTGAGAAGAAGAACAGGCTTCTTGTATTTCTATATATTTCTTACATCCCTAAGCAAATGTATTTATACACTAGGTCCTATGATTATTTTAGGAAGAAAAACAAATTACAATCAATCGGAATAAAATCAAATCTCAATCAGAATTAAATCTTTCTCGATCAGAATTAAATTTTTCCTAATAATTAAGCCAATCAATACCAACACAACTTAATTCCTAGTGCAGAACGATTCTCTTTTATTCACTTTTTGAAGTTTTATTTATATGCGCTTAACTAGAATGAACTATGACCCAAAAAGAATTGCCAACTGGAGCCAATTATAACCTTAGTTTGTAACCAAGTCAAACATAAGGAAAGAGAGGCCAAGTTCCTATGGAGTAATGGAGTAGTTTCAACATGCCATATAGGTTCGCCATGTTGAGTCGCGTACTTTTTGTGCGCTTAATTTAGAAGCCTAGCTGGTGATAATTGGTGTAGTCTATCTCTTTCAATCTAATACAGGATAACATATTTTCTGGCAAAGTCTCCGTCTTGTTTCCCTGCACAAAATTACAAGGAATATTAAATCTAAGTCTATGGTTGAGCTTCTGTACAAGCAGAACACATCACAAGCTTTACCCGATGTATGGAGATAGCAAGAGAGCAGGAATGGCTTATTCCTTATCAAGTCATATTACGAGAAATTACTAAAGAGAGAAGAAGTTACCTTTTCAAGCCATTCTGTATGGATTCCCAAAGAAGGTGTGTATTTCTTTGTGTGGCTGGCAACGAGGGAAGTGATTTTAACAGCGGAAAATTGAAGGAAGAGGAAGATCACCTATGTTTCTTTTTGGTATACTTACAAGGTGCCTATATGTATAGATGATTGAGTTTTTTTGTAGGAAAATCATAAAAATTTGGTGTAGGTTCTCTTTTTCTTTTTTATATACAACTAACTATATATGGAGTTCTCCCCTTCGGTTAATAATATTATTTATGTTATCAAAGAAAAAATCATTGAGAGCAAGTTGAATCCTACTTGGGATCACTAAAGCGAGTAACACAATTTGACATTTTCTTTTTCTTATTAATTATTTTACAACTCCGCTTCACTGCCTTGTATAGTAGTATTTTGGATGAAAAGAAAATCATGCTAAGCCAAAATGTAAAAAACTCTTGAAGAAAATGTCATGCTGACTCAATTTGTATTGTGGCTCTAGTTATAACAGATTCGGATTTGAATATGGATCGGCGAAGAGTTATTGCTTCAATGTGATTTCTGGCCAAAGGGAATCAGCTAAACCAAAAAAGTTCAATTATTATGAATTTATGTTCTATGCATTAATATCATAAAAAACTCTTACATTATCATATCAAATTGACTTACAAGTTACAACATCAGGTAACTTTTAGAATCAAGTCTAACCTAGATAACGTGACTGATCATATTGCATTGATATTTTGTACAAAATATAGACACTTGTTAGGTAATATAACTTAAACTCCATTATTATTCTCTTGGGTCGACTGTGAGAGAGAGAGAGCATGCATTATTTTGGAAGTCACGTCAAAAAGTTTTCTTGAGCAGAATCATGCAAATGTTGCTAAAAGGGAGCCAAATTACATGCATTTCATGCCCTTTTTTAGGTTAATACTCTCCCCCCTCTCCAAACGTGCTTTCAGTGCTAATGAAAATTGCATTACCATTATATCAAACAATCTCTCTATTATTATTATTATTATTATTATTATTATTATTATTATTATCCTTCTTCATTCTCTGTCTCTCTTTGGTACTTGCAAATCTTGATTTTGTTTATCGTCTGATAATGGGAAGGCCTCCTTGTTGTGATAAAGCAAATGTGAAAAGAGGCCCTTGGACTGCTGAGGAAGATGCAAAAATTCTTGCTTATGTAGCCAGTCATGGAATTGGCAACTGGACCTTGGTCCCTCAGAAAGCAGGTTTGATCAATGTAATAAATATTCCATTACTAAATCAGTATTTTTACACGGAAATATATAAATATGTATGTGAATATAACGAAAATTTCAACAAAATACTAAATTTCGAAGTCATACTTGGACACTCCGAATTTATCTCTATTTGTCGATCATATATATCTACTCAAAAATGATAATTGGTACAAAATTTATTGGATGAATTTGAAGGTCTGAATAGGTGTGGAAAAAGCTGTAGGCTCAGATGGACCAATTATCTACGTCCTGATCTTAAGCATGACAACTTCACACCTCAAGAAGAAGAGTGCATCATTGAGCTTCACAAAACCATTGGTAGCAGGTTAGTTTTTTTTTTTTTGTTTTTTTTTAAAATCATAATCTTCCTTGGTTCGCAAGTAAATAATTTGGTGTGTTTGGTTGACAGAAGTTATTCTACAGAAAATTGTTTCGAAAAAGGACTTATTTTGTGGAAAATATTTTCAGTGTTTGATTGAAGAGAGAAACATATTACGAAAAAAATATTTATTTAAGATTGATAATATTATTAGCAAACTGGATAGCGATTCTAATGAAGTATTAAGAATTAATAATAATGTCAGTGTTGGTTTAAGAACTAATATGAAGTTAAGAGTTCATATAATTATGAAGGAAAATGATGACTTTCACGCAAAAGTGAGGGAAGTCATTGTCCCTCTTTTGGTGGAAAATGTTATTACAACCAAACATCTAAAAATATTTTTAGGAAAATATTTCTATGGGGAAAGCTTGATCACTAACAACTTGTGGTTTGTATTTATCAGGTGGTCTTTAATAGCAAAGCAATTACCTGGGAGAACAGACAATGATGTCAAAAATTATTGGAACACAAAACTGAAGAAAAAGCTTGTGAACATGGGAATTGACCCTGTAACACATAAACCATTTGCTCAAGTCTTTGCTGAGTATGGAAAAATCAGTGGTCTCCCAATTCAAAATGCAAGAAATCATATCTGTTTGCCCAACAATACTACTGAAATATCAAAGCAACTTCCATTCTCATTACGAGAAAACTACTCCACTCAAAAATACACATGGGATCCTAAGGCTCAGTATCAAGTCATCCATGAGGAGACTCTTCAAACACACAGTTTTAGTGAAGTCTCCCCCTTGATTTCATCAGCAACTTATTTTAACCCAACAGTATTCAGCTCATCGTCTTCTTACGCTTCCGTGCAATCTCAGGTTCAAGTTAATTTCACGTATGATCATTGAAAAAAACCCTCTAAAACAGTAAAAAGTAACTAATCTTTATACACTATAATCGTAAATCCACAAAACTTTGCCCACAATAATAGTAAAGTCACATTGATGGATATGTTTTGTCGTTATAGTGGATAAAATTTAGTATCTTTCCAGTTATAATGGGTTAAGATCAATTACTTTAATATGACAAAAATACTTTGGTGACTTTACTATTATAGTGGTACTTAACTGTTATAGTAGAGAAAGTTGAGTGACTATACGTAAAATTAATCCTATCAGGTTCATACCACGGCATCTTCTTCGTCAACATCTACTTGGAACGAGTTTGTATTTGGAGATCTGTGTACATCCACAGATACAGAACAAAAACAGGAATACCAACTCCAAGCTGGGATATATTTGTCAAAGGATCTGTCAAATTCAGTTCACAAGGACAATCCTACTTGTGGGGAAGTGACTGAAGTTGAGGAAAACCAATCTGTTGAAGAAGCCACTTGTTCCTCTGCTGTGGATTCGTTCGTGGACACCATCTTGGCTCGCGACAAGCAAATGCTAATGGATTTTCCTCCACTTTTAGATGTATACCTTGATTATTGACTATTGATATACATGGTGTTACAATTTCGCGAGTTGGAATAAATGTTAAGAGGACTCTTTTGCTTTGCCAATTCCCTTTACCCCTATTGCTAGGAGCCTGTTTCGAGTTCCTCAGCTTATGCTCTAACTTCTAATAGTAACCGTAAGAGATTTTCTATTTCCTTCTTATTATAGCCAAAGTAAAGGTTTCAAGAATGAAATGCCCTGCAAAGCAAACCGAAGAAAAGATTTAAACTCACAAGAGTGAAACCATAGTCATCTATATGCCTAGAGAAAGCGAGAGAGATCACACGTAAAAGCATACACACCCCCAAGTGCATCTTGAATCTTTCTTACTCCGGCTGTGAAGAGACTTGAATCCACTTGACCAACACAACTTAATTCAGAAATTCATAGGACCAAGTGCTGAAGAAAATTCTCTTTTACTCGAGTTTTATTTATACCAATGCACTTAACAGAATAAACTAAGACCTTATTTTGTAATTAAGTCAAACATAAGGAAAGAGAGTTTAAGTTCCTTTGGAGTAATGAGTAGTTTTTTCGACCTGTCATATAGGTTCACCATGTCGAGCCGTGTACTTAATTCAGAAGCCTAGCTGCTGATAATTGGTGTAATCTATCTCTTTCAATCTAATACAGCATAACATATTTTCTGGCAAGTCCTCTGCCTTGTTTCCCTGCACCAAATTTACACGGCATATTAGATTTAAGTCTTGTTGAGCAACTTCAATCATCCTCGGGATTGCTAACAGCTACCTGAATTGTCAGACCAAAATCAAGGACAAACTTCTTTAATCTGTCTTTACAAGATTCCAATCCTTTTCTGGCAATATAACTGAATCTATGAATGTCAAAATCAATCTCAAAATAGTTTTTTCCCTGCAAGTAACCACGACAAAAGATTTCAGTAGGAACGTCAGGGATACATGCTCAATCCCCAAAAAATAAAGGGAAAAGGTCTCATCTTCTATACAAAATCGTCGCATATTTGCTTGTCCTTGTCCTTGACGGAGCTCCAATATGGACTTGGTGATTTCCACGTGTCAACATATTTCGGGAAAAATATCCAAATTTATCTCTCTAGTCTTGACTATGATTTAAAATTACCCTCCGCTATACTTCAGATTGGAGCTCCGTTTGGGTCAAGGGCAAATATGAGACTTACTATCTGTTAACGGCAGGAGTATGAATGGACCTAGAGTATAACGTAAGATAATGTTTAAGATATTTCATATATATCCAGAGAGCTTGGAGACAACAAAATCGGAAGAAACAAATGCTCTATGCAAAAAAGTTTCTTAGTTTAATTTTACCAAATAAAATTCGTGTTGAGGACGTGAGAGCACAGGCTTTTCATTGTAAGCGTTCATGAGCTTTTGCTCAGCTGCACTTAACTGAAGATCCTCTATGTTTACAACTCGTGCCAAGAATTTCAATCTGTCCCGGAAGGTTACATTTTTATCTACAGGAAAACCTCTGATCTTCTCTATTTCACCACGAATTAACCTCTGTCATGCAGATAGCAAGCAAAAGAATAGTTAGTCGGGAATTTATTCAGAATTGCCAAAATCATTAAGTGTATATTTTTTAAGCGAAATGCACGACTGTACCTGGATATTCTCTTGAAAATGGACTGGAAGTTCTTTTGAGTAATTTTCTGAGAGCTTGAAGTAGAAAACAAAACTCATGCCTTCCCCGTTGTGTTCATTTTGGAAGATTGTGGGAGGGTACGATGGTATCTGAGATGATAAAACAATCAACCATTTAGTGCCAAAAAACTGAAATGAAAAACAGTCAATCATTTCTTCTCTGCTGCATCTTCACTTGTCTTGTTCTAAAAGCTTGACCTTGGCATAAGTATTCAGTCTAATATTTTGATTCAGGAACAAAATGTATGAGGCAGTTTGCTCGATGATCTGTTTACCAACTCAACCACTTGAAAATACTAAGTGTATATTAATTTGGTAAAAGAAGTAACGCCTTAAAATCAACAAAGTTTCGTACCTAAACTGACTTTACAAGTCGAATTGTAATTATAGACCTACTCCGCTTGTGTAAATTTCCGCATATGCCGCCGGAATGGACATTGTTTGACAAGTTGTTCAACAAAAGAATAATGATATATATAAAGTGTTAGAGAAGTAAGGACACACCTGAAGATTTACTACAAGGATTGGAGGAACTACTCCAGATGAATCAACGGCTGGAAGTTCCACAAAACGTGCAATGTGATCAATTTTACGTGGTGATAAGAATACATCAACCCCAAAAGGATAAAATGCAGCATGGTTTGGAGCAAACTCTTTCTTCTTGTCCCTGCCAAACAATTTAGAGGGGTTAAACTTGATATTTTTGAACAGAAGTAACCAAAGAAATTTGATTAGAGTTAAAAATACAGTAGAGTTGGACTATGTGTTATAAAATCTCATTTAACAAATCTGGTTCATCAAATAGTGGTATTATCTTACCTAATGTATCTTTTACCACGAACTCTGAAAGTATTTGGCTCAATTGATGACCAAGAGTTGGGCAGTTTAGTCCGCCGCGGGCTGCATGGAACTTGAGAACCAGCGACCAGTCTTCGCAGAGAGGCCTTTGACGACACTGAAGATGCAAAAGCAGAAATGTTAATAATAGGTATTGATAGAAATAGTCAATGTGTCAGGTGCAGCCTATGAATTACATATGCTTAGCAAGGAAACAACTGTTATCTGCAGATTACTAAGTATCGATCTATTCAAGATGACATAAGAGTGTACTATCTACTTTTCCATTTGTCCAAACTTTTTTAGCCTTTTAATTACATCCGTAATGTAATATTGACGTCAACTGGCTTAATATACTATAGCATAAAATTCAAGATAAAATTTCCTTCTTGAAACTATTCATAAAGCAACTTCAGCTTCAATGCCGTATATGCAAAGAAAAGTAATCAATTACAGGCTAGGGCCGGGAATTAACAAAAAATATAAGGTAAAAACACTTACACGATGCAGAATTTGAATAGGCTTCTCTCCGTTTAAAAGATAATATTTTGGTTAGAGATGATTTCCTTCTGGTGCCTGGTGAGCTTGGGATTGCAGATTTTCTCTTTTCAAGCCTAACTCCTTCAGCTCTCGCAGCATTTCTGTCCATGTTTCTGCTAGACACTTTGTCAAGAGTGAAACCATAGTCATCTCTGATAATATTTGGTTCTGCATTTGCAAATGATTGTTCATGTTTTACTGCAGAGTCAAAAGCCGCATTACTGTTGCAACAAACAGTATCATAAAACCTTGGAGAAATCGCAGTTGAAAAAGATCCACTGCCACTCTGTGAAAACACTGCAAGTTTTGAAGTTACAGAAAGCATTGATCACTTATCCTGCCCATCAATTTCTATGTTTTTACAAGTGAAAGAAATGACGAGGGATGTAACACAAGGAGACATCATGTGCGTCAAATTCATGAAAGACATTAAAACAACGACTAAGAATGTTTATTTACTCAGATGAATTACCATCTTGCGCGCTATGAAAATCATTGCTACTTTCCGATTCAATCATCACCTCTGGGTCAAATTCTCCATTTCCTGTTTAGGCCAAATAAAACACTTGGAGTCATATTCCAATCTAGCCAGTCCTACAAAATTTGCCGAGGGGAAGCTATAATCCAAAAGTATGAAAAGAACACTGTGCTTTTGTCTATGTTCCAGCTTCATAATTTTACCAAAACAGTCGAGACATTTCAATAGGCAAGCATATATTAAAAGCAAAAAGTAAGAAATCTAACATGTAGTCAACAAATAGAAGCAGAATTCAACATAGTAGTCAAATGTTTCATGATCAAAACTAATCCTATATTGTTATTAACTCATCTTTAAGCTAAGAAAAAAAAAAGACAATGCTTTAGTGCAACAACAGAATCACAATCAATATAGATGATGGCTTGAGAAGGAAATCAGCTAATCGTTTTCCTTTCTTAAAATAATTTGTCAGTCCAACTTGAGCCGCCTCGACTATTCTACTGGGAATTTGCTACCTTTTTGGGGGTATAAATATTCCGACTAATCCAAATTCACAAATGTGGAGGGAATTCATCCATCTCACCACACTCGTTGATGGTACTTGCTACCTCTCACCAGTTAGATACCTAGTATCAGATAACTCTGCCACCAAAATTTAGACAACCGGTACCAAATAACTCAGCCCCTAAAGCAGCTTAGACAGATAGGAAGAGAAATCAGCTAAGAATTATACCTTTGGATAAAGAACTGGAGCAAGAAATATTCTTAGAAGCAGAGGGTTCAATCTTATTGAGCTTGTGAGATACAGAGTTCCTCCCTCCTTGATGTTTCTTCCTATGAAGATCACTCATTCCAATGCACCTTCTAGCTTTTGATCCACATGCTCCCATTTTCTTGTTTCAATTCTAAAAAGCACAACAAATTGGAATTATCTAAGCAACTACTGTTCTAGTAAATTCGTCTTTTGAGAAAATTCCTTTTTTGGGTTCTTAAAATGATACCAAATTCATCAAACTGCTACTGCAATTTCCAAAAGGGACAACTTTATAAATGGCAAAGTTTAATTGGTTGGAGTGGATAATTTATCAACGACAATATTCCTCGACCGTCCACATGACTACGGTTGTGTACCAAATTTTCATGTGCGAGTTCCGTGTTTCTTTATAATTCTTGCTACGTAAAATTCCATAAAATATGCTAACTTATTGATCACGTGTCTTAATATAATCCTTGTCACTTTCACAAGAAGCTTGAAGAATATAACCAGATTATCATATAGAAATGAATCTCTTCGTGGGTAAATAACTTATTTATTCACCACTGATGTTAATAATCAGAGCCGAAATTAGGGGAAAGAGGTTGGCGGTGAAATTTCTTTAATGTATATAGTATATATTAGATGTTGAATCCATTTAACTCTTCACTTGCTTATTTTTTTTATATTTTGAATTCGCTCGGTGAAAATTCTGTCTCCGTCACTATACACTAATTTAATAAATGCAACACATATACGCCTTTCATACACATAATTGTCACTTATCCATAGTCAAAATGATATATATTCTCGGATTAAATTTTTAATGTTAAAATTAAATTACTTGATTTGATACAAATACAAAATGCCGGTAAGTATCAGCTCTAGGGGACCCATAACTGAACTGTAAAAGTCGGATGATTCTGTGGTACAAACGCGTCTGCAAGTGGAACCACAGCAAATGTTGTAGAAGAGAGAAGATACAATGATGTAAGCACACGTGTTACTTCTTACAAGTTGAAAACTCTGAATGTTAATAATGCGTTTGATTAAATAAAAATCTAACAAACATTGTTTCCGTTAAAATGATTGAAACGTCCTCAAAATAATTTAAAACATGTAAATTGACGACCAACAAAAATGATATGAAGAGGAATTAAGGATTTTGTTTTCAGAATATTATTTGAAGGATTACAAAAAAAATATTAGAAATAAAATAATAAAAATATTAGTCAAACCAAAAGTGCTCTTAAGATGAAAAGCCCGAGTAACCAACTTATGGCTTATGCTTGATTTTGACTTATAAGCACTTTTGGTTTTCATAAATAAACAGTAATATCAAAGAATGCCATCATTCATCACTATGTCATTTATGTGCAATAAAAGTGAAATTCATGGGGGAAAAAGAAAATTCAGCAAATAAAACCTAGATTCTGATTTAGTGCAAATATAAGTCCGGACTAATTCAATCAACAAGGGGCAGAGGAATAAAAATTCCTCTAGGAGCGTATTCAGAAAGCAATATAACATAGGACATACCAGCACTGGCCAAAACTAAAAATAAGGTATATAACTAACTTTTTGCAACTCCCTTAGCTTTAGCAGATTGATCATCACATGTACCAAATACAAACAAAAGGATAAAGTAAAACCAAATAGAGAAAACTTAAACCAAAAGGCTAGTTCTCACTTGAGCTAGTAAATATTTTTACTTCGATTCTATTGGTCGACAGAAGTGACCTGTTGCCACTCCCCATCAACTGCTTCTTTCCACAATGTAACATTGTTGTCCCCAGCCGCCACTGCCAACAAGTTTCCGGTTAGAGACCATGAAACCCTCCAAACAGGAGTCTTGAAGTCTTTAAGAACCTTTCCCTCCCACTGATCTCCCTCCTTCGCCACAGTCCATATGACAACTGTACCATCCTCTGAAGCACTAGCAATTGTCGATTTAGGAAGTCCCAAGTTCGGTGCCCAGGCTACATCCCGCACCCAGTTAGTGTGCATCTGTAGTGCAGGGAAGCAGTCCATCTTCAAAACACCATTATATAACTTCCAAACCTTCACGGTGTTATCACAGCCACCGGATGCCAGCTTCTGAACAGGTTCAAGAACACCTGAACCAACTAACGCACCAGGAGTCATTGATGGCGCCCACGAGACTGCTGTTACCCCAACTGGATGGGCTTGGTCAATTTTTGTAGTGTCCCAAAGACCATCTGACCTAGCAGTGTGAACTGAGATACTACCATCAGAAGAACCACAAGCCAAGCAAAGCCCAAGTTCATGAGGAGCCCATGAAATAGAGTTAACCGATGATTTATGGTCGCTAAAAACATGAGCTTGTGTCCACTCATTTTGATTGCCTTCCTTCCAGATTACAACTTTTCCATCATAGGAGCAGGAAGCAAGGATTGAACCAAATTTTGGGTGTGCCCAAGCAACTTGCCAAACAGGACCAGTATGGCCACTCAGAGTGGCAAGGTGCTGTGAAGTTGAGTTGTTGCTGACTCCAACTATTTTTATGGTCATATCAGATGATGCTGTGGCCACACGTTTCCCATAATAGTCCATGGAAACATCATGAACTATGTCATTGTGACCCGTTTCAATCTTCTCTGCAGGCATCTTCCCTTTGCCGCTACACAATGTCTCTCAGCTCCTATAATTTATTGGTCAGTTGATTTTTTTAAATGTCAGTTTAATTGATCATACACACAATTCAAGCAACTATACAAACTATTCATATACATCATAAGTGATTCGCAAGAATAACTTTCAATGCTTTCCATATCGCAAATCAAAACTTTATAGTGAGCATATTGGTTAAACTTAAACACTCTAGGTTCCATATTAAGGTCAATCAAAATCCTCTCCATTAACCCAACGTGACACTGTCCTAGTGAAAATTAGAAAGACTACCTCAACCCGGATTCCTATTATCAGTACCAAATTTTCGAGTTGGCTTCTTTATTCACATACTTGTACCATGAATGATTCAATGTCCGCACGATGCGGACTAACATTTTTTTTTAGAATTCCAGCAAAGGTAATCCATTGAGATGAAAAGACTAAAATCATATACCCTACCCTAAACTAGTCTAATACTACCAGATATATTTTAACTGTGAAATATCTACTAAAGTTATCAGGCTACTTCCATATAAAGGACAATATAGATTTCCCCAAAACTCCTTTCCATAAAGTGACTACTGTCCACAAAAGATATCACACTTTCTTTTTCTACTAACCAAGATATCTCTGAGGGCTATGGCGCAATTTGAAACCTGTGGATAATGGGTCCACCACTCTACCCTTGTGGCAGGTTCAAACCTGTGACGTGAGCGGTGCACCTAACCTACACATCACGTGTTGTGCTCTTACCACTAGACCAAAGCCCCGGGGGCTCAAAAGATATCACATCGTTCTAAAGAAGCACCCAAAGAAAAAGGATGTGCATATATTCAAAACACACATAGGAGAACAATGCCTAACAAGCAAAAAATTATATTTAACTCATCCAGACATTCATAAACAAATTTTTGAATCTAAAACAAATGTTAAAAATAAATATGATCTTATATATTTGTGGATCTCCTATAACTATCTTTTAGTGTACTATTGGACCAACGGGAAATATTTTCTTAGCTTCCTATATTAGGGAAAAAATTGATCTTTTTATGACGGTGTTGTGTGGTCCAGCTTGCGCCCATCTCAACTATTCCATTGAGTAACTTTACCTATACCTCCCACTAGCACAGATATCAAATAACTCAGGCCACTGAGGCTTAGGCTGATTGGGAAAACATATCATCTTTTTAGCTTACAATTAATCAAGTAGCACGAAAACACACAAGAATCTCTCCAAAATTAACAAAATTCAGATGGGTAAAAAAAACAAATCATGGATGGATGAAACCCAAATTACACACAGAAGAATCGGAGTCCAAAAATATAAAAAACAAAAATACAAACGTAAGCTTGATAGATCTAGCATTTTTCCTTGGATCACAAACCGGGTCGACCCGAAAAAGAATAAATCAAAGGAGGAAAAAAAGCAAAAGTAAAATTATGGTTTTGAGGACGAATATATACAGATCTTAATATAATCTGATGAAATTATGGGATAACGAGGAAGCTTTTTACCTGTAACTGTAATAGAAAGTTTCAGAGTCAAGCAACGGGATAGAGAAAATAGCGCAACTCGAATCTGCAGAGAGAGAACGGAACTGTCTAATGCGGTAAGCTTATTTGTGCAGCAAATCTATATCCGAGTCCAAGAGGTAGCGTTACCCCGAAAAACAAATTATTCATACTTGATGTTTACCTCGAATTTGAGTTTTTCTTTTTTCTGTTTTTTTTTCCATCTCTTTTGTTTTTTATACAATGCATGAAGGAAATTTCATACCCGAGTTATATTTTATTACTTAGTATTCCTTCGTTTTTATGTGTCACTTTTTCGTTTTTATGTGACACTTCAATGACACTTTTTTTATGTGACACTCTGTTTAAAAAATAGTGATACTACATTAATATTTGCAAATAATTTTAACTTTAAATTTTACTTTTTGCTTTTGATAATATATTTTATAGCCACAAAAATATTTTAATATATTTAAAAAAATAAATTTCAAATAATTTTCTTTTTTTATTTCGGTATATTATGTACTTAGTCAAATATAGACGGAAGGATAAATCTTTTTACAGGAGTGGCAGTAAGTAAGAAAGGAATTTTTTAAGAGAAATGTATATTATTAGCCGCTCCCAAAAATTATAAATTAGTTTCGGTTTTATGTATCTCACACGAGAGTCCGGAACCTAAGTAATAAATTTTTGGACTCAAGGGACCAACATAAGTCCCTAAAAAAATTAAGTACCATTTTATATATAGCATATATTTTACGGGCGTTATACGTTAACCACCAGTTACCCGTTAGCGTATAACGCATGTATATACCTTAATTTGAAACCGGTCATGTATAGCGAAAGATAAAACCCCCTTCTTTCCCACACACGTCGACGGTTCCCTCCCCCATTTTTAAATTTCTTTTCCTCCATTTGAGCCCACATAGGTCCCACAAAAAAGTGTGAATTTTATTTTTTCAAAGATTGAAGGTCTTAGAATAAAGTTGGTGGTCGAATTTCGAGAAATGGTAGTCCATATTGCCATTCAAACTTTTAAAAATTAGATATTTCTTAACACTTTTCTCCCTATTAATTATTTACATTATGTGTATTACATGTGTATTAACTATTGCGCACTTTATTTCAGATCTTTTGTGCAACTTTTTTTTCTTTTGTAAGTTGTAGTAATTATATAATAGATTTTGGGTTTGTTTTTATTTTAATTCCGTAAAATTATTAGGAACAGTGATAATTTTTGTATAATTTGGATATTTGTTGGTATTTGTCAATTTTGCCGATTATTTGAAATTTAGCTAACAAAATTTTATTATTTATTTATTTTGTTGAATATTGTTTAATTATTTGTTAAATGCTGACTACTTTATTTATTTGCCAGCCAGAAAAGTAGTATTTTGATTCCTACTTTGCCCGCCATATAAGTTAAACCAATAACATACTTTAGGATTCTTTGACTGTTAAATAAAAATTGAATAGTTGGCAATACGGAAGATACTCCGTCAATTTTTTATCATGAAATTCGAAAAACAAACGTACAAAAATGTATGAATTTATTAAATGATAAATAATACTTTGTATCTAATTAATTGTAACACTCCGAAAAATTTCGAAGTGTTTTAAGACCATTAAGAAGATTGGCGGGTGCTAATTATATTAATTCAGGTATGAACAAGACTGATAATTTGAATGATATCAATTGATCATGATAATACATGTATGAGGTGCATTAAGAATGGTTTATGGTCTAAGAAAAAGCCCTAAGGCTAAGTCAAGTTGAAAATTATATGATGGGATAAAGTTTCAAGTGAAGTCGCACTAGATCTAATTTCAAACAAGCATAACTCTCACGATATGAACAGTTATGTGGTGTATAACCTATCAAATTAAAGCTCTTTGAGTCTAATTTCCAACGTATCAAACCGTTTGTCATTTGGATATGTGTACAGAAAGTTATGGCCATTTGACTAGCCATGTGTNTGAGTTGATTACTACTCCTAAACACTTGTATTAACAAGGATTAATCTTGAATATCCATAGATTTCTATTTAAATTTCCAAATTGGTCAAGAACACTACAAGTTGGGATTCTCAAGAGTTTCGCTATAAGAGGTATGTCTACCATCTCTGACTAATCTATGGTGATTATTTATATATGAAATATGTGTTAAAACTTATGGTATGGTGATTGGAAGCTATAAGTTCCCAATTTAAATACATAACCATTGTAGAAATTGAAAGGTGATTATTTGATGAAATTTTTATTGGTTGGGTGAGAATGGTTGGTCACACGTATGATGTTAGGATTATAAGTTGTTAAAGAATGATGGTGGGATGAATTGTTGGTAAATGATGGTAGTTGGAAGAACTAATTCTATGGTTAAGAAATGTATAAATGTATGCCCACTAGGTATTTGGTAAATTGTCTAAATAGTCTAAACTATGGAATTGGTTACTAATGTTGGTCCTATTGGGTGCTGCTATTGTAGATTGAAATTGCTTAGTATAGTAGATCGTTGTAGTATCATTAAGGTGTGAATTTTAGTTTTGGATCATTGGCATTGAATTGAGGAGACAAAAAGGTATTCAGAGGTGGATACGCGCGGAATGGAATTTCCTGAGTATTGATTAGCTTACTCGACGTTGGGTTCGTCTTGTTGAGGTAAGTAACTTTTCAAATCTTGGAGTTGAAGGTATAAACCCTGATTATACGTGTTATGTATTTGGTGTTGAGGTGACGTACATGCTAGGTGACGGGCGTGTGGGCATGCACCGTGTGAACTGTGACTCCTTTATTTATATGGTACTATGTACTTACCTGAACTTATCTATAATCATGAAATCTCTACGTACTAGAGTTATCGAGCTGTGATTCGTATTAGAAATCATGTCTAGGCTAGATGCTTATTTTGTTGGGACCCACTGAGGTCATTACTGTTGTTGAGTTATTTTCTTACATTGCAATGTCATACTCAGTCATATTCACTCATTACATATTATATCTCAGTTTCTGTTGTTATTTATTGATACATCATACATTATTTTCGGGCTAGTTTCATGAAATTATGAACCCGTGAGAGAGAGACTGGAGAGATTGATGACTGAGTGAGGCCGAGGGCCTGATTGTGAGGGTATTGATACTATAGCACGTGAGTTGTCCGTGCGAATTCTGATATTGATACTATGGCACGTGAGTTGTCCGTGCGGATTATAGCGCTTGGGCTGAAGGAGCCCCTCTGGAGTCTGCATACACCCCCAGTGAGCGCGGTTGATTTATATTGAGGGATGGATCTTCCCTAGACATGGATCTTGTCCGATTCATTTATATTGAGGGATGGATCTTCCCTGGACATGGATCTTGTCCGAAGCATTATATACCTGGAGATGGATCTTCTCCATGGGCTGGATTGGCCCTACTTGGTACTGAGTGCCTAATGATCAGTTGATGTGTATATTCCGAGATGGATCTTCCCTGGGCCGGATTGGCCATATACAGTACCGAGTGATTGAGCATAATGAGTGGAATGTGTGAGAAAGTGAGATTGAGTACTCTGAGAGTGTGAGTACATGAGTTTATCTCTGAGATACATTGCATTGACATGCACACATGACATACAGGCATAGAGATGTATTTTCCTCATGTTGTACCGTATCACGTCATTCATGACTTCTCACACATGTTGACATATGGGCATAATGATGCATTGGTTTTACACTGGCTATCTGGAAAGAAAAATGAAACATCTTATTTATTGAAAGAAAGGTTTTGGGAAAAATCAAAGTTTTCAGACTTACTCATATTTTGGTGATTTCAGTGAAAAGAATTGAGTTTTACTATTATACTTGAAAAGAAAATATTTATTTATTCGGAAACTGTGAACGACTGAGCATTTTATTATTTAGTTATTCTTTGTATTGCCTTAATTTTATTGTTATGAGATGTTACTGGATATTGGTGTGGACCCTGACCTTTGTTCCAGCTCGTCACTACTTTCAACCTAAGGTTAGGTTAGTTACTTATTGAGTACATGGGGTCGGTTGTACTCATACTACACTTCTGCACCTTGCGTGTAGATTTTGGATGCTGATATTGTTGTGCATGGTGGAAGCTAGCATTGAAGATGTACCTGCGATCCAATCGCAGCTGCCTCTTGTTCTTGGTAGCTTTAGAACTAGTAATCTATTCATGTATATTTCAAACAAATAATGTATTTTATTTCACACCAGCTTTGTAAATTCAAATCTTAGAAGCTCATGATTTGTACTACCAGTCCTTGGGGAGTGTATTAGAGTCAGTTAAATATTAATTGAATCGTATTGTTGTTATTTGGTTTACCTAGCGGGTGAGATTAGGTGCCATCACGGCTAGTCGGATTTTAGGTCGTGACATTAATTAATTAACTATTTGAAGATATCCGATAAGTTCAATAATTAAAATAATGTAGAGTTCTATAACTGACGAATTAAAATTTGAATAGTTGTCAATGCAAAGGATACTCTGCCGCATTTTTATCGTTAAATCTAAAAATAACGTTAAATCGTTATGAATTAAATAAATACTAATTAATAATTTGTATCAAATTAATTAATAAAAAATTATTATATTCCAAGAATTATAGAAAAATATTGTAGGTATTTTTGACTGACGAATAAAAATTTAAATAATTGTCAATACAAAGGAGAATCTGCGGAATTTTTGTTGTTTAATCTAAAACAATAATGTATAAATCGGTATGAATTAAATAAATAATAGATAAAATATACTTCATACAATTAGATAATACTCCTTACAATCTCAAACGGCAATAATAAATAAATCTTTCGTATGAAAAAGTAAGATAACATATGTTTAATTAACATTATTCTATGTACATACATCATTATGGATCACCCGATTGTTCATCCTGGACTCGTGTCACATGAGCTACTTACGCTCCAGGCGGCCCATAGGTCATTACGTATATGGAATGGAGAGTTGCTTAGCCAAAACATACACTTGCGATGCATTGATGATTTTTGGGATCTTATTAGGGATCATCCACTATATCAGTGCACAATCGCGTGCCTCACTCGAACAGGTTTTTACCGAGTCATCGAGGTTGGTCGGTTACCGTTCAACTGTCCATTGATCACAAATCTGATCGAGCTATGGAGGCCAGAGATACACATATTCCATTTGCCTATCGGTGAGGCCATTATCACGTTACAGGACGTAGAGGTTTTATTTGGGCTGCCCGTTGACGATCTTGTTGTTCACTACCCGCCTGCGATTAGGAAGTATAGGAGGCTTGACTATATACAGCTACTGGAGAGGCTCACTGGATTCCATCCGATTGAGGAGTCTACGATCAGTGGAGTTAGCCGATTACGGTTATTGCCTGTGAGCCAGCACCTTGAGACGCTACACGAGTAGATCACGAATCAGACACTGGATGAGGGTATTGAACGACAACCTCGGTTGTTACTGTTGATGATATTTGACGACATTATTTTCCCAAATACCTCGGAGAACCTTGTGAGCCTACGTTTCTTGGCTCATCTGGAGCGGTCAAATGATTTACCCCTCACCATATAATAATGATATGATATATAAAATAGCACGACATTATCTTTCGTGCTTTTACTCTCTTCCTCACATCGTATGATAAATGATAATAAAAAATCAAGTGCACCAGATGACCCTTCGTGCTTTAATACTCACCATCTCTCAAATCAATAATAGAATATGCAAATGAGGCATGGCAATACCCTTCATGCTTTTCACTCTTCCTCACTATGCAACAACACTAATCCAAAGTAGCAACGCAAGGTGGGAAGAAAATTTCAATTCAATCATAGTGTTATGTTAACCCAACTAAAATTTCAAAATCTCAACAACTTCAAAAATAAACGATACATATAAAGGCGAACAATTAAAGAAGTAATAATCTAATTAAGGCATGGAAAGCTTAGTCAATGAAACAACGTAATACAATAAAATACTTTCCACCTGCATGCTTTAACCCTATAACAACGCATATATAATCGTCACCTTACATATACGTCATCCCCACACATAATTCACGTAGCAAATAGACCAACAAGTCCTAATCCCTCAAGTCAAAGTTAACCATGACACTTACCTCACTCTACAACCAAATCAATTCTCAACCACATCTTTTCCTTTAGTATTAGCCTCTGAACCAATCAAATCTAGCCAAATATAGTTCAAACAATTCAAAATAGGCTTTAGAAACTACCCACAAGTGAAAATGATTCAACCTTTAATGAGTTTGGAAAATGTCAACCCCGGCCTCGCGTGGTCAAAACCCGAGATTCGGACCAAAACTCGATTACCCATTCACCCCCGAGCTTGGTTATGTCATTTGTTTCAAAATCTGACTTCAATTTGAGGTCTAAATCTCAATTTTATAAAATCCCCAATTTCTTCCCAAATCCCTAATTTCTACCATAGAAATCCTAGATTAAAGGTAAAAATTAGCGGATGATTATGGAAATATAACAAAACAAGTTAAAATTTACTAACTAATAAAATGGGGATGAAAAACCTCTTCAAAATCGTCTCTAGACCGAGCTCTAACTTCAAAAAATGGTGAAAAATGGTTCAATCCCGACTTTCAACTCTTTTAATACCTGGGCGTCAGGTGTTCTTCGCGTTCGCGAAGCACATGACGCGTTCGCGATGCACTCAACAATTGACCTTCGCGTTCGCGAAGGCTTAATTACCCACCTGCCTTTGCATTCGCGAGCCAAGGTCCGCGCTCGCGAAGAGTAACTGCATGTCCTCCCCCACGTCACCCCAATGAATCGCATTCGCGGGAATCTTGTCACGTTCGCAAAGCGTAAACCCTTCAACGCTTCGCGTTCGTGAAGTATAGACAGCCCCAAGTTTCCCCTTCGCGATCGTGAGATAAGCTTCGCGATCACGAAGCACAACGTACCAGACACCAGAAACAACTATTGCACAAGTTCAAAATAATCTAAAACCTATCTAAAACTCACCCGAGCCCCTCAGGCTCCAAACCAAATATACACACAAGTGTAATTACATCATACGAACTCATTCACGCAATCAAAATACCAAAATAACATATAGAACCACGAATCGGACATCAAAACATATGAAATTCAAAAGAAAACTCAAGAACCTCTAGAATCACAACCAAGCATCCGAATCTTATCAAACCAACTCTGAATTGCACCAAATTTTGCATATACGTTTCAAGTAGTAAAGCAGACCTATACCAAGTCTCAAAATCAAAATCCGAACCCGATAGCCATAAAGTCAACCTATGGTCAAACCTAGGAAGTTTCCAAACTTTCAAATTGCTAACTTTCGGCAAAATAAGTCAAATCAACCTAAGGATCTCCGAATTCAATTTCGGGCATACGCCGAAGTCCAAAATCACAATGTTGACCTACCGAAATTGTCAAAATACCTATTAGGGATAGTTTACATAAAATATTAACCAAAGTCAACTCAAGTTATTTTTAAAGCCAAAAATCATATTTTCTTCAAATTATTACGTAAAAACTTTCTGGAAAAAAGCACGGACTGAGCATGCAAATCAAGAAATATTAAATGAATCTAATAGAGGTCCCAAAACACAGAAATAAAGGCTAGTACTCAAAATGACCTATCAGGTCATCACATTCTCCACCTCTAAATGAAACATTATTCCTCGAGCGGATATAGAAAAGTACATGGACGGGTAAAAAGGTGTGTGTATCTACTTTGCATATTGGATTCGGGCTCCCATGTAGCTTCCTCGATTGGATGACCTCTCAATTGCACTTTCATAGATGGAAAACTCCTAGATCTCAACTTTCGAACATGTCGGGCTAGAATAGCCACTGGCTCCTCCTCATAGACTAAATTCTCATCAAGCTAAACCGTGCTAAAGTCCAAAACATGGGAGATATCCTCATGGTACTTTCGAAGTATGGAAACAAGGAATACCGAATGTACTCCTGATAGACTAGGAGGAAGTGCAAGCCTATATGCAACCTACCAAACTCTCTCTAAGATCTCAAATAGCCCACCAAACCCGGGGCTCAGCTTGCCCTACTTCCCAAACAACATCACGCCCTTCATAGGTGACACTTGGAGAAGAACTTTCTCACCCACCATATAAGCTACATCCTGAACCTTCCGGTCCGCATAACTCTTCGATCTGGACTGAGTTGTACGAAGTCGTTCCCGAATCACCTTAATCTTTTCCATAGTATCACAGACCAAATTAGTGCCCAATAACCCAGCCTCTCTGGTATCAAACCAACTACTCGGCGAACGACATCACCTCACATATAAAGCCTCATACGGAGCCATCTAAATTCTCAATTGTTAATTGTTGTTGTAGGCAACTCTGCAAGAGGTAAGAAATGGTCCCATGAACCTCTGAAATCCATAACACAAGCACATAACATGTCCTTTAAGATTTAAATAGTGTGATCGGACTATCTGTCCGTCTGAGAATGAAACGCTGTTCTTAGTGCATCCCGCGTGCCCAACTCACGTTGCATGACTCTCCATAAATGCGATGTGAACTACATGCCTCGATCAGAAATGATGGAAATAGGCACGCCGTGCAGGCGGATAATCTCCTGAATGTAAACCTGAGCCAACCGCTCTAAAGAATAGGAAGTCGCCATCAAAATGAAGTGCATGGACTTTGTCATCCGGTCCATAATAACCCAAAATGCGTCATATTTCTTTGAGGTCCATGGCAAGCCTACCACAAAATCCACAGTGATGCGCTCCCACTTCCACTATAGTATCCCCAATCTCTGAGTCAATCCACCTGGTTTTTTATGCTCATACTTTACCTTTGATAATTCAAACACCGGGATACTTAAGAAATAATGTTTCTTCATTCTCTACCACCAATAGTGTTGTTTCAAGTCACGGTACATCTTCGTGACACCTGGGTGAATAGAATAGCGTGAACTATGCGCCTCCTGAAGGATCAACTCACTCAACCCATCAACATTTGGCATACAAATCTGGACCTAAAGCCGCATAACATCATCCTCCCAGATCACAACCTCCTTAGCACCACCCCGTTGCATCGTATCCTTCAACAACAACAAGTGAGGATCATCAAACTAGCGAGCTTTGATACGCTCCAACAATGATGACTGGGCAACACAAGTAAGAACATGGCTGGGCTCCGAAATATCCAATCTCACAAACTAGTTGGCCAAAGCCTAAACATTTATGGCTAATGGCCTCTCAACTACCGGTAAATATGCTAAACTACCCATACTCTCCACCTTCATACTCAATGCATCGGTCACTACATTGGTCTTTCCCAGATGATATAATAAGGTGATATCATAGTCTTTAAGCAACTCTAGCCATTTCTGCTGCCGCAAATTAAGGTCTTTCTGCTTGAATAGGTGTTGGAGATTTCGATGGTCGGTATAGACCTCACAATGAACGCCATACAGACAGTGCCTCCAAATCTTCAGTGCACGAATAGTGTCTGTCAACTCTAAGTCATGAACATGATAATTCTTCTCATAAACCTTCAACAACCGATATGCATAGGCGATCACCCTACCATCCTGCATCAATATCGCACCAAGCCCAATATCCGATGCATCATAATACATGGTGTAAGATCCCGAACCTGTATGTAATACCAATACTGGAGCTGTAATCAAAGCAGTTTTGAGCTTCTGAAATCTCAACTCACATTCACCAGACCATTTAAAAGAACACCCTTCTGGGGAAACTTGGTCAATGGGGCTGAGATAGAAGAAAACCCTTCCACAAACCAGCGATAATAACCCACCAATCCCAAGAAGATCCAAATCTTTGTACTGAAGTAGGTCTAGGCCAGGTTTGAACTGCCTCAATCTTCTTAGGATCCATTTTAATGCCCTCGAAAGATACAACATGGCCCAAAAAGGCAACCAAGTCCAACTAGAACTCACATTTTGAAAACGTGGCATATAACTGACTATCCCTTAAGGTTTGAAGTACGACCCGAATATGCTTCTCATGCTCCTCTAGACTGTGGGACTAAACCAAAATATCATCAATGAAGATGATCACAAAAGAATCCAAATAGGGCTTGATCACCCGGTTCATCAAATCCATAAATGTTATTGGGCAGTAGTCAAACCAAATGACATCACTAAGAACTCATAGTGACCATACGGAGTCCAAAAAGCTATCTTAGGGACATTCGATGCTCTAATCTTCAACTAAAGGTAGCCAAATCTCAAGTCAATATTCGAAAACACTTTGGCACCCTGAAGCTAATAAAATAAGTCATCAATTCTCGGCAAAGGATACATGTTCTTGATTGTGACTTTGTTTAACTACTAATAATTTATACACATACTCATTGTTCCTTCTTTCTTCTTCACAAACAACATCGGTGCACCCCCAAGGCGAGACACTAG